TAGGGATTCTGTAGGAAACTTGACAAAGTCTAATTTAGCTCTAATTCTTTTTCCCGAAAGATGTCAAATTGTTAGCTGTTCGTGGCCATGCACGCACGTTTGTGATGTGATATTGACGGTGCGGCTGTTGTTGACAATGGTTATTATGTGACTAATACTCTGCCATCATCATCATCATCCATCACCACCACTCTCCTCTACCATCATAATTTTCACCATCAAAACACCACCACAATCATCACCACCACTACAACTAGGATCGCCTCGTTGCTCCCTCGCACACGTGGGGTTTCTCCACGTGCTCTAGTCTTCTCCCAAATCTATATACTAATGAATTGACCGATAACACCGGTGGCTAGGAGATGTTAACTACCTCGCCTGGTATACAGGAGGTCGTGGGTTCGATCCCGACCCTGACACCTGCTGTATATTTGGAGTTTGGTCGCGTGAATTTTTCTCCGGGTCCTCCGGTTCCTCCTCCCCCCCACATGTAGAAATGTGCGATTAGAGTATTTTGTTGTTATAAATTTGCACATGATGAGTCACTTCGTTCAGCTAACATTTGTGGCCAGGTCGCTTCTGAAAAAGAGAAATATATAGCTCAGTGCTCCTTACCTGGTAAAATAAAAAAAATAGTAAAAAAATAGCTTACTCGTGAATCGCAGATGTTGGCGAGGTGGAAATTTGGCACCGGCTTTCACACGTGACTGCTCCCCCCACCTTCCCGGGAGCTCCTCGTCTGTGGTTCCTCCTCCTGGAGCTTCTGAGTTGCCCTCCCTCTCTCGCTCTCTATGAGTGCGAGGAGTGGAAACCGTGCGGTAAGCGGAGGCACAGCGCTACTAGTTGAAATTATGAAAATGTTATTTTGTTTTGTCATTGTGGCGACCCAGGTCACCACCCTTGCAAATAAAACTTCCCTATCCTGGCCTCTTGAGTTCTAATTGCAGTTCGCACAAAATCAACGTGAACCTTCAACTGTGTTTCAAAAACAGAACATCCGTGCACATATTATTAAAATGCTATATTATGATTGAAGGTAAACAACGCGCGAACTGAATTTATTTGATCAAACAGCAAACGACTCTGAGCGGAGGCCCAGCGGAAGTGCGCGTCCGATCTTATTGCGGTTCCAAGTACAGCGGCCGCTCTAATTAACACTGCAGGTGTACCAACCGTAGAATTGTCACTACTGCTCCACTCACAGGGGACGATAAAATATCCCGCCGACATAATTTGCAAAAGTCGGCCGTTGTGTGCCGGCGGCATGATCCAAATGTGCCACAGTTGAAAAGCAACACCGTGAATGTACTCAGATTAGTGGCACGGGTGTCCATCTCCCTCCTCGGACGTTTATCCCAAAAACCCACGACTAAGACAAAGACCACCCGCATAGCCTGAACAGACTGTTGGGGCAAGTTCTGTTTGCGAACACCTATGAAGACGGGCACGGCACCACGCCTTGCCACCTTTGCTGAGTGGTGATGTTTACACAACGCACCAGGAACTATTCTTGAGGCTGAGTCGATCTAGAGGAGGCTCATGATCGGTTCAGATGATCGTCACTGGTGTTGGTCGTGAGCGGCAATCGAACTCGGGTCACCGGGGCTTGTAGCGCAGCGCGTTAACCGCTACACTACCGCTCCCCATACACACACAGCACCAGCAACAGCTGCCTTCTGCCAGGATAGGTGCACTATGAGGCCACGTAAATTGGGGAAGGCGCGCTGGCAGAAGGTCACAGACGGAACAGGCCGTAATACACATGGGGTAATAGCCATAATACAACTAAAAAGACACACAGTCGTGTGAAAAAATACTGACACAAATACACACAACCACACACGACACCGCACAAATACAGCCACGCAAATACACACAATGACGATGTTTGGCACCCCACACCAGGTACTAAAATGAGGCTGAGTCGACTTAGGGGAGGTCCAGGACCGGTTCAGATAATCGTGACTGGTGTTGATTGTGTGCGCGAATCGAACTCGGGTAGCCTAGTTTGTAGAGCAGCGTGCGAACTGCTACACGACCGCTCCCAACAACACACACAACAAAATATGCACAACAATGCAAACACACACGCGCTAACATATAATATAACCACACACTACACCGCACAAACAGAACCACGCAAACACCCACAATCGTATTCACAAATACACAACAACAACCGCCGTTCGTCACTTAAGTGACGATGTTGATTGAGAATGTGCTCCGTTCATGATTGACCTTTGCAAGAAGGCATGAGGATTTTCGACCTCGTCCAAACATACGGACGTGGTAGTCAGGGTACAACCATGATAGAGAAGTGGAGGAACATCCCCGATGAGAGATATACATCCCAGGAACGTTTTGACACCTAGCCTGGCACTTGTAGCACTTTTACCAGGCTAGGTGCACAAATACACGCAACCACACATACAACCACACAAATACACAACCACAAAAATACACACAACCATACACACACAACCACACAAATACACACAACCACACAAATACACACAACCACACAAATACACACAACCACACAAATACACACAACCACACAAATACACACAACCACACAAATACATACAACCACACAAATACACACAACCACACAAATACACGCAACCACACAAATACACACAACCACACAAATACACACAAATACACACAACCACACAAATACACACAATCACACAATTACACGCAAATACACGCAGCCACACAAATGCACACAAATACTCGCAACCACACAAATACACACAAATACACACAACCACACAAATACACACAAATACACACAACCACACAAATACAAACAACCACACACATACACGCAACCACACAAATACATGCAACCACACAAATACACACAACCACACAAATATCCACGCGCACGAATACACACAACCACAAAAATACACACAAACACACACAACCACACAAATACACACAACCACACAAATACACACAATCACACAATTATACACAAACACACGCAGCCACACAAATGCACACAAATACACACAACCACACAAATATCCACGTGCACGAATACACACAAACACACAAATACACACAACCACACAAATACACACAACAACACAAATATCCACGCGCACGAATACACACAACCACAACAATACACACAACCACACAAATATCCACTCGCACGAATACACACAACCTCACCAATACACACAACCACACACATATCCACGCGCACAAATGCACACAACCACACAAATATCCACGCGCACAAATACACACAACCACACAAACGCATTTAGACAAAACGTGTAGGGCTCATGATGTCAGTTTTAATTTATTGTACAAAACTATGCCCAACTCCCAAATCAATCACATCACCAACGTTGTGTCTATCTGGGCCCATTTGTGTGTCCCTGTGAGTGGATAGTGTAGCGGTTAGCACGCAGTGCTACGAACCTGGCGACCCGAGTTCGCTCGCGGCCAGCATCAGTGGCGAACATCTTAACCGGTCCTGGGCCTCCCCTAGGTCGACTCAGCCTCAATGGAGTACCTGGTGCAGTGTGTAAACATCGCTAATGGGGAGACAAAGGCGGCCGTGTGTGGTGCTGGCCACCCACCCCCTTTCATGCCTTATCGGCCTTCATAGGTGCTCGTTAACAGCACTTGCCCCAACAGTCTGTTCAGGCTATACGGGGATATGTATGTTTGTATAAGTGGAGAACCTATCATAGATCATTTATGGCAATAAAACAGGTGTTTAGATGTTAAAACACCGAACATAATCCTTTTGTAAGGAATTATGTCTGCATTAACCACACATACTTGTGGTGAACATGCAAACAACAAACATACTCTGGTAGTATATGCATTGTCCGTGAAACTGACTGTACATGTTATGTATATCGTTTATTGTTAAATTTGAATCTCGGTTCCTATGATTACTGTTGTTACATTGTTTTTTATAGCTTTATTTTGGTGATTTCGAAAGTACATGGCTATGCCATGTTTCTTGCAGAAGTGCGGAGTTGGCCTGATAACTTTAATCTAAATTGTCTTATGGTTGTTATTGTTTGACTTGCATCACACTGGGTATTTTGCACACAGCGTTGTAATGCGGTGTTTTTTTTTTCTGGAAGATTTGCTGGTTTATCCAGGATGTTTCTGTTGTGCGTCGTCGCTTTAAGATATTCTCTGTTCATATTTTGTTTGTTGCGGTTGCACCCGACTCAAGAGCCGCATGGCTCACAGGGCTATCTCCATATATATAAAAGGCAAAGTTGGGAATGTGTGTCTGTTCAAAATGTTTAGCGTACTTCCCGACATGCAACAAACTTGAAATTTGCCATGTGGGATCTTTCCGGACTGTACACCATGCAAAAAATATAAAAATACACTTGGTTTTTTTTAGGGGGGGGGAGCTCAATAATGCATTTATTTTTTGCACGGCCAGTGAGCTGTGACGTCAAATCTGTCACGTGACCCTCGCATGTGGAAGCGTAACAGATTGTTGTTTAGTGGTTAGCGCGCCGCGCTACGAACCCGGCGACCCGAGTTAGATTCCCGCTCACGGCCACCACCGGTGACGATTATTTGAACCGGTCCTGGGTCTCCCCTAGGTCGACTCAGCCTAAAACGAGTAACTGCTCTGGTGTGTCAACATCGCCACTGGGGAGACAAAGGCGGCCGGGTGTGGTGAATTCAAGTCCCGGGAGAAGCCGGGTAGTACAGCTAGTACCTAATAATTGAAACTTGAAACTTGTTTGAGACTAGTCTAAAACGGTTTGAGACTAGGCTCGAAAGAAAGCCGCTCTGGTGTGGACCAATCAGTTTCAAACACAATTAATCTATTAACAGAGCATGTTTTTGTTTGTATGTTCACCACAATTGTTTGTTATTGCATACATGATTCCTTGCAAAAGGTTTCTGTTTGGTGTCTTAACATCTTAGCACGACTGTTTTTATTGCCAAAAAAGGTCAAACCAATTCTCATATTTTGATACTGGCAAGACAGGTCCCATGATATACATCACTTAATTTATTTCCCCCCCCCCCGGAAACCCCTCGTTGATGCTCAAGGCTTCATTTCAAAGAGGGTCCTCGCGACAAAGGGGAACGTTTCACCGAGCCGCTAGCACGTTGTTGCTTTCCCGTTGCAGTGGCTCACGGCACCGAGTCCGGCGGCCGCCCTAGTTAATGATGCGGGTGCATTAACCGTCGAGGAGCGCCGTCTGCTTCACGGTGGACGCTCGAGATCGCGTGACGTCATTCTAAAGCGAGTAAGAAACTCCCTTGCCGGCGTCACTGTCCGCATAGTCCAATGTTTGAAAATGCACACCGCAAGTTTACTTAATTCGGTAAAATCCACATCGCAGCATCGCCCCTCCCTCCTGGCAGACCATGTGAAACTTAGACCCATTGTGATCGAGCCTTATGCCCGTAAACACCAACTGCCCACACAGTCTATCATAAGTCTCATCCCGAGCTTATATATATATGTTTTATAAAGAAGAGCTATTGCCCGGAACGTCACATATCATGTATTTTAACAGCAATATAATGCCACAGTGTTATTATTTACGAATACATTGAGTTATTTTTGTACAGACATACGCGAGCAGCTCGCACGTCCTCTGGGTGGAGATGATCGTCCGTCGTTGCCTCCAGCAAGCCAGCCAGCAAAACTTATTTTTCTTCCACTAATATCGTATCATAAATACGTGTGTGAGTATGGGTGGGCTGGTGGGTAGGTGTGGGTAGTGGTGGGGGTGGACCTAATTCTTCGTCGAACTCATCTCGTCATCTGCGGCTCTTGACGGGAACGTGTTGAAGGTCAAAATGGCCTTGAACGCGCGCCGGAACTGCTTGTTGAAGGTGGCATACAGGATGGGGTTGATTGCCGAGTTCATGTAGCCGAACCACACCGATACTTTGTAGGGCAGAATGACGCTCTCGTCCACCGTGAGCACGATGGCGATGATGTAGTAGGGCAGCCAGGAGATAATGAAGGCAGCGATGATAGCGCCCAGCGTCTTGGCCGCGCTGTGCTCCCGTCTCATGCTGGCCCAGCGACTCGCCGCGGCTCTGCCGGCCTCCTCCCCGCCGCCGAGGCCCGACGAGGCGCGGCTCAGCGCGGCGATCTTGCGCGCCTGGCCGCGCGCCACTCGGTAAATGCGGCCGTACATGAGCACGACGAGGAGCACGGACGTGAAGTAGGGCCACATGCCGATGGCGAAGAGGATGCCCACGCTGATGAAGAAGCGGCAGTCGTCGGGGCAGCCGTTCTTCGCGATGGTTCCCTGCGACAGCGTGGGGCTCAGGCTGAGGAGGATCGGCGTGGACAGCAGGGCCGAGCAGAGCCAGCAGAAGAGCAGCATGAACACCAGGGTCCTCCTGTTTATCCGCTGCTGGTAGCGCAGGGGGTCGCAGATGGCCACGTAGCGGTCGTAGGCGATGCAGCTCAGGTGCAGCACCGACGCGGTCGTGAACCAGTAGTCGCAGAAAAAGTGCACGTGACAGAGTAGGGGCGCGTAGAACCAGCACTTGTAGACCGACTTGGTGAGGGACAGGGGCATGATGACCACCCCGACCAGGAGGTCGGACACGGCCAGCGACAGGGCGAGGGCGTTGGCCCGCGTCTGCAGCTGCCTGAATAGGGCGACGGCGCTGACGATGAGCAGGTTGCTGAGGATGGTGACGGCGATGAATAAGCTAATGGTGAACACCGCGACGGCACGGTCGTGCTTGGAATTCAGCGAGGTCGGCGTGCAGTTGAGGTTGGAGAAGGAGATGACGCAGCTGGGCGACGAGGCGAGCGAGGAGTTATCCATGGTTGATGTCTGCAGTGAGTGGATTGCGCACAGGGATACGAGCGGTCACGGTGGAGATATATGGCACAGTCCGTGCACCGAGATGAGGGAGCATGGCGCGGTGTGCAAACCGCCGCGCCATCTCTCGCGCCACGCCTGAATTATTTCTGCAATATGCAACGGGCGCAACTTATCGTCATTTATATAGCGCCTTGACCGAGCCGCTTTGTACATAATTCACAAAGGTGCACGTGTGAATGCAATGGCGGAGATGAAGGTGAATACAAAAAAAACGAGAAGTCATGGGCGAACCTGCGATGCGTGATGTCAATGGGATTGGATGGATGGGGAATGAGTCGTAGCCATGGAGAGAGATTATGAAGAAGGAACAAGAATCATGGTGATTAGAAGGGGGAAACTATGTGGTTGTGCGATGAGCTAGGGAACTTGATTGTAATGATTTCATTTGATATAGCGTCATTCATGCAATTGCATCGAACAACGGTGCACATCAATTAGCGAGTTTCTTCCACAGATAATACAAAAACAAAACCACACTATTTAGCAAATCAAAACATAAAATATGAATAGTTAAATAACGAGAAAATAAGTGAGTTTTGAGGGATGAGCGGAAACTAGTTAGCGAAGATTACACAATCACAATATATATGTATATAAGGAATCCGATGAGCTATGAAGCTTGGCACTGGCTCGCCGGCAGTGTAAGTCACGAATGTGGAAACAATGTTTCTTATTTACACACTAATCCTAGTTTGGGTTAAAATCGCCTCGTTTTCATTTGCAACCGTGTTGATCACAAAACTAAACCTCACCACATCCGTCAATAACACCGTGGCCTTAAATAAAACATATATAATAGGCAACGTTTCGGACCAATGGCACTTCATCACAGCACGTAGAGAGGCGTAGAGTGCTACAGTCTGGACAGACTGTGCCGTGAAGAGTCATCGTCAGAATCTTTATTAATCGTGGAGAAATTCGATGAGCTATGAAGACCCATTTCACACATGTCCAGTAGGGGTGGGTCGGGAAGTTACAACAACAAACAGCACAAAAAAACGATAGGAGTGCTGCAGTCCAACGCGCGCCACAGTGGCGAGATGTTAATTACCTCGCCTGGACTACAGGAGGTCGTGGGTTCGATCTGTGACCCTGTGAGATGTTAACTACCTCGTCTGGTCTACAGGAGGTCGTTGTTTTGCATTCCGACTCTGACGCCTGCTGTATATTTGGAGTTTGCATGTTTTCCCCGTGGTCGCGTGGATTTTTCTCCGAGTCCTCCGGGTTTTCCCTCCACATTTCGAATACATCGCTGATATGTTTCCACGTGATGATAAGCCAGCTCGCCAGTGAGTCAGTAGTTCAGTGAATTACATGGTGAAATGAAAACAGTCGCGTTTTTAAGAAAGATGAGAACGTCACTAAAAACAAATTAATCAATGCATAAATAAAGCGCTGTATCCAACCATACTGCTGGCTCAACAGAGGCCACCGTGGGTGCGGGTGGATTTACGAAACGTTCCAATTGTATCGTCTGCCGCGTAGGGAGATTGAACGGGACTGGCGACCTCTATCTACATCCCAGGGTCAGCGTCTCGAGTCTCGCCCCTAATACGGATACGGTCCGAGCACGAAGCTCGAGCCGATAGAAGGGCACGCGGAGGCCAAGGGTTGGGGGTTACTAGTTTAACAGAACACACGTGTATACAAAGCATGACGCAAACACCATCAGCGGTTGCTGAAGAACTGACATTGCCGCCGTGTTGTCTTCGGGAACGATCCATGCACGTGTTTAGCAAATGTTGACCGACTGACAGCAGCGGTGATGCAGTGATAGACAACTGTGGAGCGATTCCATTCGAATTGAGACTCGTCATCATGGTATAGTGACGAGTGCTGTCAGTCGGATATCACATCTGTTTAAATGTATTTTGATGGAGACATATACGTATAGGCACGCATACATTTATAGATAAAGGCATACAAAGAAAATAATTAAGTTCCCCATAATGGCCTTAACAGAATGTTGGGGCAAGTGATGTTAGGGAGCACCTATGAAGGCAAACACGGTAAGCGAGGGGGTGGCTGGGCAGCACCACGCCCGACCACCTTTGTCTCTCCAGTGGAGATGTCACACATCGCACCAGGTACTTATTTGAGGCTGAGTCGACCTAGAGGAGGTCCAGAACCGGTTAACATAATCGTCATTGGTGTTGATAGTGAGCGGGAATCAAACTCGGGTCGTCGGGTTCGTAGTGCAGCGCGGTCACCACTCAATACCGCTCCCCATACATACACATACCCATACAGAAACAATATATTTGTAGGCGTACATACATACACGGGTGGAGTGGTGGCACAATGGTTATCGCACGGTGCTATGAACCCGGCTGCTGAAGCTGTTTCCCAGACACGGCTAACATCAGTGGCGAGCAAGGGTTGGCAGTAACGACACCGTATGAGATTTTTCTTCGAGTATTTCTTCCTCGAACAAAATAATAATATTGTACCGTGATTTCATACCGAAACTTTGCCTTTGTTTTCGTACCCCTACCTTTGAAAAAATGTCGTGTCGTACCAGCATACCGTGTCAACCCATACGGATTATCCCGTATTCCTGTACAGGGAAATTGCGTTTTCAGGTCCATAGGTGTACATCCATATCAATACGGGCAAAAAAAATATATTTGTTTGTGTTTGTCCCTTGTGATGGGACTTTGTAGGATACATTTATTAGGCACGGGGTGACCAATAAGGTCTGAATTGGTCTGTAATAAGGGTTTGACAGCAATGTTACCAGTGCGGTAACATTGCAGTAAAATTGCGTGCCATTCTTTCGTTCCCATATATCGTGCCTAAGAAAAATAAAAGCTCAGTAAATAAGGGATCGATGGCAAGCAAGCATATAGGATATAGTTTTGCTTGATTTGTTAATTTTGTGGAAAGCTCCTTACTCTCAAACATATATATTCTGTAAACCTGTTTGATCTTTTTTTACTCGAATTGACAAAGAACATTTGAATCCAAAATTGGATTTAAATTTCGAAATATTGATTAAAAACCCGTTTAGAATCCGTTATCAATGGCAAGTGCCGTTTTGAGAAATTAATCTTGCCTGACGTTTTAGTTGTTGTTTTTTTAACCTGATGTGTTAAGTGTTGGAGCCGCCCTTGAAGGACAAGAGAGTAGAATTATTATCAGAAAATAAGAAGCTTAGCTTCTAATTTATCACCTGCGTTGGTACGAAAAGAGGTGGGAAATGGTTGGGAAAAAAAAACTCCGTGCTTTCGTACGGTACGTGATCACAAAAAAATATCGTACAGCAATTTTGCACCGTACTTAAGAACCAAAACATCCCGTACCTTAATTTCCTACCATACCGTAATGTCAACCTTAGTGATATCCACACCGATCCGGCTTGCCAGATTCGTAGTGCAGTGCGCTAACCACTGAGCCACCGCGCCTGCCAAATGCACAGCAATGACAAATATATTTGGGGGAAAGTGCTGTTAGCAAGAACATCTGGATGCCGGCAAGGCACATCAGGGAGTGCGTAGACAGGAACACGCCCGGCCACCTTTGTCTTCCCAGTGGAAATGTTTACACATCGGCACCAGGTGCTCACTTGAGCCTGAATCGACTTATGTACACACACACACACGAATACATACAGTATACTGTAGACACACACGTATGAGTGTTGTTAGCGATCACTTATTAATAACGGCCCTGCACTCGAGTGGGGCGGTGTGGCGAGCACAACGCCCAGCATCCCCTGTCACTCCAGCGCTGACGTTTAGACACCTGGCTAGCGTGATGAGCGGCGGCGGATAGGCTTAACGCACTGCACTACGAACCTAACCACTTGAGTTCGATTCCTGGCCACGGCTAGCATCGGTGGCGAGCTGTGTCTGCACGCGGTCCTGAGTTTCCGCTGAGGAATATACTCGGATTACCTGGCGCGGTGGATTAACATCAGCACTGGGGAGACAAAGGTGGCCAAGCGTATTCTTGAACGCATCACCGTCTCGAGCGTCGTGCTGGCCTTAATAGGTGCTCGATATCTGTTAAGACTATCCGGGGCATCTTTGTCCATGGCACATACATAGTGAAAGGCCAAAGTGGTTTACGTGCTATGAAAGGGTCATTTCCCGAAACGTCGAATATTTTATACTTTGCCTATGAAGTACCACACATTATTGTTGACTATTGTGTTTGAGGCTCATATGTATTATTTTTTTTAAATCCACCACTCAAACTTAAAGCTCCGCAAAGATGGATTCAATAAACCACTGTGGTCATACGCATCTTCAGGCCACCTCGCAGCCAGCTATTTACCGCAAAAAAAAAATTCGTGCGATTCGTAAATTCACAAATACATTTGTGAATATCTATAAAGACATCCGCAGATAATGTTGCTATTCCCATTCTCAGCAACGACGCCTCATGACGTTCCATCACGGGTCACCAATCATGCAGGTGACTCGCATCGAACCGGCAACACTCGTACATTCTAACAGTTCGCCAGCATTGGTTCAAGCAAAGCCTGAAACGTCGAAACCGGTCCAGAGTTGTGCTTGCATTAAACCAATTCTGTTGAGATAAAACTAAACTATAAACTATTGTTTTATATTTTGATTTAAAGCTTTCGTGACAGCTATAGAGCTGTTTCAGAAGCGACCTGGACACAAATTATAGCTCAACGACGTGGATTATCACGTGGAAATGTAGAGCAGCTAAAAACTCAAAGCGCATGTTCCAAAATGTGGAGAGAAAAACCGGAGGAGCCGGAGAAAAATCCACGTGACCCCAGGGAGAACATGCAAACTACTCATTTTCAGCCGGCGTCAGGGTCGGGAATCGAACCTACAACCTCCTCCATACCCGGCGAATTACTTAATATCTCGCCTGCGCAGCGGCTCACAGAAGAAGGTTGTACGACGAAATGGGATGCTAAAAAAACAAGATTTTTATGTGGAGAGACAATTATGGGAGTAGGCGATTCGTCCGCCTTGTTGTGTTGGCAAATTCCGGGTTGGGGCACCCGTTATGCGTGTGAGTGGTTTTACCGCTCCTCCCACGCTCATCCGTCCGCCCTTCTCTCCCTGCTGTTGATCCCCTCCGCTCCCTGTCCCTCGCTTTTTCACCGCTCGTCCGGGTTTATATGGAACTCCCCCCCCCCCCCACCGCGTGCCCCA